TCAGCTTGGACTGTGAGCCGATGTGTGGGGCTTGAAACCCCAGCCGCTGACCCAGAGGCATTTGCTGTGGATGGGGCAGGCCATCACAGTGAGCAAGCATTGCCCCAAACAATTCTTGGAACTGTTAGGCTTAAAAGCCCCCCCCGGCCAGGGTTAGGTGAAGCAGACCAGCTTCCCCACTCCCTCAGCGTTTCAGAGGGGCAGGTTACTGAACAGCAGACTGAGCACTTCTCTTTGCTCAGTCGGTTGGTGCAATTTCCCGTTCCTCCCTAGTCAGGGTTTGGGAGCGAGGGCGGAGGCTGGATGGAGGGTCTCCTGCGGGCTGGCGCTTTGTGTGCTCAGTCCACATTCCATCCTCCTGTCCCACAATGAGCTGCAGTTCAGGCGGGGAGTTTCTTGATTCCCAGGACCCATGGGGTGCAATCGCCTGATCTGCGAGATGAAAGGGCTCAAAGCCAGACCTGGCTTGCCTTACAAAGCGGCTGCTGTCTCAGCTGCCAGGGTAACAGTATGCAGCTGCCTGCGTTCAGTGTGACTGCTGTTATTCTGAGATGGTGTGCGTTTCACTGTTAACCCTTTGTGGCTCCCGCGTCCGCAGATACTCCTGTCTCCAGCTTTGTTCAGCTCCCACATAGCAATGTGAGCGCTCATATCACAGTAGTTCAAACAAGCAAAGCAATCAGGATTTCTGGCCCTAATATTGACCTCGACCCACTCAGGTAAATAAAAATGGGCATGAACCAAAACATTTCAAACCTTCTGCACGCTCGGTCTTTCACCGCCCACCCCCACCAAAGTACTCAGAGCTGTCTCGCCAAATCCCTTCACCTTGTGCCTTTTCTTCGTCTTCAAGAACCTCCTGATCTCTTTGATCATGCATTTGGCCACCGTCCTTCCCACTGAGTGATCTCCATTGTCTCCGTGAGGCTCTCTGAATCGTGCATTGCCTCCAAAACACATAGTCGCGACACTTTACAGTTCAAACCTGATGTTTTGCAGTGTCCCCCGGCGTGTGAAAGGCGCGGGTGTCAAATGCAAGGACGATTATTTTACAATTTCTGAAAAGTGCAGTATAAGTGTTATACCTTTGTGATTGTCTCTGTGAAAAATCCCTGATCAACAACACAGCACTGTGGTCTTCCACAGCCAGTGCTTCAGAAGAAAATCATGCTTTATTCCTTTAGATAACCTGGTCATTCACTTCATGACCGTTGTAGGATCTTGCCGAGTTCCTAATTGACTGCTCAGCAGTCAAGACGTAGTTTGAAGTACTTTGAGCTGTTTGGACATTATCATCACTAACACAAAGATTTGTTGTTATAGTACGTCGGGCACAAAGCCAGGCTGGGAACTGCAAGGGGGTGACTTTGGTTTAGAAGGAAGGTGGACTGCTTGGTTTGGGAATGGACTGTACAGGAAAACAGGAGGCTGTTTGGTATGGGAGAGATTAGATAGCAATATGTAGTAGGGTGAGGCAGGAAGTAATTGTATTAATAATCCTCACATCTGACACAGTGATTTTCACTTTGGGAGGAAGTCTCAAAGGTGCTTCACAGTGTAAAGTGTAGTGTATTTTGTAGGCAATTGCAGCAGCCAATTTGCCCACAGTAGTATCCCACAAACAGACATGGGAGATTGTTGGCCATGATACAGGGAGACACACCTTTCTCTTTTGGAATAGCACCGGAGGGGCAGAATCACAGATCCCAGTGGACAGAGTTTACAGTGATATATACACTGTCACCGCTTTAAAACAACCCCTTACGTGCGGTGTCTGACCTTTTAAGATCCACCTAACAGGCAGACGGGGTGTCGTCTTTATGTCTCATTTGAAGGATGGCACCTCCGACAATACAGCGCTCCCCCAACAATGCACTGGAGTGTCAGCCTGGACTTTATGATTTCAAAGTCTCCATGTGGGAGAGGGGAATAGCATGGCTGGGGTGTGAGGGGGAATAGGGGCACTGGGGGGAGGAGAATAATGGCCCCAGGAGAATAATGGGGAGGGGATAGTCGGGAATAGCTGAAGAAGGGAATAGGAGCAGTAAGTACCCGGCGAAATAATAATAATCCTTGCATTTTGATATAGTGCCTTATCACGTCTTCAAGACCTTTCAAAGCGCTTCACAGAACATACTGTAAACTGGATTTACTGTATATTTTGTGGACAAAACATCAGCATGAAATTGTTGGCTAAATAGCTAATTTGCTCTGATTCTGTGTAAGGTGGACGAGGGGATCACCCAATCTCCCCCCCGGCATTATCATAATCTGGTTGACTCACAAACTGTGTTTAAGGTCTGCCAATGATACAATGGGGATACAAACAAGTTTGGAGGACGATTAAATATAAATGTGACGCCGACAGCCGGAGCGAGCACAGAGAAGTGCAGAGGCTTTCAACGACTTGTGGTGTGTGTGTCTGATTGTAACAGCCTCCGGTGGTGAGAGAGGCCTCGCCAGCGCTGTGTGTGCTCCATAGCCTCGTACGTAGGGGGGGTTGAACTCCGAGCAAGGCACTGTGTGCGGGCGGGGAGGTGCTCGGTGTGGGTGTACGTGCCTGTGTGAGGTGGGGGGGGGTGGGGGGTGATTGGCTGCAGATCATCCAGAACTTGGCAGCCCATGTCCTCTCCTCGGGGTTGGGGATTCTGCTACGTGTCTGGGCTGGGGTGGGGACTGTAAAGTACTCGGTGCCAATGAGTTGAGTAAAGTTTACGTGAAATAGGATCGTTCAGGTGCTGCTGGATACAAAGGAACCTGCTGAAAGTTTAATGTACCGGTGCCAAGTAAGCCAGGTCTGACAGCCCAGGCGGGGTGTTAGGTTTCAGGCCCCGCTTGCCCACCGCCTACCCCGGTGTCCTCTGTGGTTTGTTTGTCTCCTTTACCCGGTCAGTCCCAGGAACGGCTGCCCTGCCAATGCCCCTACACTTTGACCTGGGACTGGGTCGCAGGTGTGCGATAAGCTGTATTAACACTGACATCGCATGTTAAGGGGCTGTTTTGAAGCGATTTCAGTGTGTATATCACTGTAGGCTCTGCCCACTGGGATCTGTGTTTCTGCCCCTCCCGTGCGTATTGCACTCTCCCCAGTACATGTGGCAAGACCTTTGTACCCTCATACGCTAAGGGGAGGTGGCTCCAGGCATGTGCTCAGCTGATTGTCTGTGACCCTGACGTGATGTGTGAGCTTTGTGCATAAAGACAGCGTGACTTCCTGTGTGAGCCGGAGAACGGAGTGCATCTGGTGACTGAACGTTCCTGTATGAGAATGCTGAAGGCCCAGAACGGCTGCAGTGAGCTTAAACTTGTTCACTCACCTTCCTTGAAGTTTGTGTGTAAGTGTGGCCATCAGCTTGTTCCTTTTCTGCTCTGCTTGGTCTCTCTCCACCAACAGTGGCCTCAACTCCTGTCCCTGTACTCTGAAACTCTCTTCTAAACCCACTTCACAGTGCTACCTCCCCGTCTGCCTTCAAAACCCTCCTAAAATCTCTCTCTTGACTGTTCTATAGTTCACAAACTCCTTTAACTTCCTCCTCATCTTCTCCCTGCGTGGCAAAGCGCTTTGAGATGTTCATTATATGTGAATATTGCTGCTTTTTTAAACTTGTATTCTCTGCTCAATGTGGTCCACTATATACTTGTCACACTTTGGGACTTTCATTGTGTAAAAATAGGAAGTGAGATCAGAAAGCATTTCTTTATGCATTCCTTGCATCGAGGCTTGACTATGCAAACCCCTGGCTTGTCAACCTCCCCTATTCTCCCTCCATAGGCTGCAGATCATCCAGAACTTGGCAGCCCATGTCCTCTCCCGCACCAGGCTCCGTGACCCTATCACCCCCATCCTCGCCCGACTCCACTGGCTTCCCATCACACAGAGGATACAGTTCAAGATCCTGGTCCTCACGTTTAAAGCACTCCATGGTCTTACTTACCTGTGAGACCTCTTAAGACCCTACCATCCTGCCCGTTCCCTCCTCTCAGCAGGCTCCGGCATGCTTCACTTCACCCGCCTCGCCCGCCCCACCATTGACCTTCAGCCACTCTGCCCCCACCTCTGGAACTCTATCCTGCAGTCCCTCCGCCTCACCCCCTCCCTTGCCTCCTTCAAGGTCCTTCTCGAGACCCTCCTCTTTGACTGTGCTTTCGATCACCCTGATTCCCCCCCTGCCCTCCCCAATCCCATCCCCCAGCTTGGGTCCGAAATTCTGAGCGTCCAGCGCCTTGGGACGTCCTTCCGACGTGAAAGGCGCTATATAAATGTAATTTTGTTGTTGTTCTCACAGAGAGAGCTGTGAGAGTGTGGGCTGGACTGCCCAAGAAGTCACACAGGCATAATCCAGGTTTGGGATTTTTAAAGAGAGATTGACGGATACGTGAAAAGAGGCTATTGAGGGCTATGGAGAAAAGGCCATGATCTGATAAACTGGTGGCTTTGTTGTGGTGTTGTGCGTTCCTCTGTGACTTGAAAATGTGGGTGTAGGGACACTGAGGCTGTGTAAGTGAGGCCGAAGTTCTGTTCTGAGCAAGGAGTTGGGTGAAGGAGCTGTGATCCAGCTGTCTGCACCCCTCCCCCCCCCTGCAGTTTTACAGGTTATACCTGCCCCAACGTGCTTCTTTGCAGCAGCCACACATAACAGGAGTCTGCCCCCTGGCCTTTACTCTCTCAGCTCGCTATCTCAATGCCTCACCCACGGCCCTCTGCTGTAGGAACAGATGTGTCAGTGCCGGCTGCTTTGTTTAGGGGTTTCTCAGCTCGGGTCCAATGCCTGATACACCGTCTCACTCTTCTTGAAGACAGAGAGAGATGGTTCCGGTCAAATCATGACTCCTGCACAAAAATATTTCATTCTTAGAATCTTGTACATTGCATTCAAAGCCCCTACCCCACGTGAAGGGAGCTATGTAAATGCAAGCTGTTGTTGCACGTACTGGGACTGGGTCCGGTTAGGTGTTGAAAGTCGTTTGGAAGCTGATTTCTCTTCTGTCCCCATTGGCAGGTCAGTGATTCTGAGTGAGGGACCCTGCAAACGCTTCTGACGCATTAAAAGATGGGATTGGTTGCCTGGCTGAAGACCCAGTTCGTGATCCACCTGTTACTCGGGTTCGTGTTTGTCGTGAGCGGCCTTTTCATCAACTTCATCCAGCTATGCACACTCCTCCTCTGGCCCATCAACAAGCAGCTGTACCGGAAGCTCAACTGTCGCCTCGCCTACGCCCTTTGGAGCCGTGAGTCCTACCTCCTGCCTCTCCCTGTCTGCGTGTCTTGTCAGCTCACTGTTCCAGGCTGAGCAGTGTACTGGGTCTATTGTGCCCAAGTGTAAACACAACTGTATGAGGCAACATGTGTAAACTTGGGTGCACATTTATAGAGCGCCTTTCATTTCGGGAGGAGGTCCCAAGGCACTGGACAGATGCCTTTATTTGAGTAATTAATAACTAATCAGAGTCTAGACTGATGAGGCTGACATTCCAATGCAGTGCTGGGGGTGGAATACATTGTTGGAGTTGCCATCCTTCAGTGGAGTGACTGTATTTTGTGAGTGTGGCTTATACGTGTGATTTACACATGGTGCAATGGATATCCCACTGTCTGAGGTCTGGGTTCGAATCCAGCATGGACAGATGGGGGTGAAAGTCTCTGCATTTTTCTCTCTCCTCTCTTTCTCTGGCTGTCTTATGTCACTGTCTGCTGAGTGGAAATGAAATTAGTTTTGGGGCATTTGCAACTCACCTTACGGCAGTTACACAGGGCAAGACAGCTGTACAACGTAAACCTTGAATTTAATCCTGATTTTTCCCAACATTTCTATTGTTTCCTTCTTCAAATTCCCTTTCTGCCAGGTTCCCAGGTTCTAATCCTGAGCTCATGCCCCTTTGTTACCAATTTACTAATCGGCCGCAATAATCCTCCACTATTTATCTCCTCAAAACCGGCCAGGATTTTGAAGACGTTGATTAAGTTTTCCTCTTAACCTTCCTTGTTACATTAAAAACTGAGCCAGTAATGTGAGCCTATCCTCTTAACTATAACTACCCAATCCTGAATATCAGATGCAGATCCATGCTATACCTTTTCTGTGATTTCTACTAATGGGGTGCCCAGACTGCATTGCCCCATACAAAAAACGGCAGAGTCCCATTTCCCTCTTGGTGGCTTATCCTACTTGTACTTCCAATTTTAAAGATCCGTGTATTTTCACCCCTAGATGTTCTTGTTCTTCAGCATCATTAAAAACTTCACCTTCCCACATCTGGTCCCTGGGGTGGACTGCTTCACTCCTCCCCCAATACATCGCCCACCTCTGACAGTACCTCACACCTAATGCAGTTGAAACCCTCATCAACTTATTCGTCACCTCCAGCTTCGATTTTTCCAATACCTTACTCACCAGTCTCCCCAGCTTTACCATTCATAAAATCCAATTCATAACTCCACTGACTATATCCTCACCTGCACCAAACTCCTCACCCCATCACCCCAGTCCTTGCCAGGCTCTACAGACTGTTTCAGTACGGATCGATTTCAAGATCCTCAAATTCTCGTATAAATCACTTCATGCCCTGGCACCTCCCTACCTCTTCAGTCGTGCCTTCGGTCACCTCTCCTCTCTCAGGCTCCGCCACTGTGAAGCCCTCTGAGACACTGCTACATGTGAAAGGGCAGTATAGAAAAGCAATCTTGTTGTTGTTCTCTGCTTTACTCGTTTCTTCTTTTTCATGATAAGTACCACTGTTTAATTTCTGAACATGAAACCTTTCTGCTTCCTCCGCTACCTTGTCTCTATCCTGCAGTTTCCTGTATACCTTCTCACAATTTGCTGTGTGGGGAAACTGCTCACTTTCAAATCAGTATTTAGGTGGGAAGCAACAGAGATCCCCTGTCTACACCTAGCCAACAGAGAAATGACCATTTCCTTCCACTTTCCACTTCTATCTATCAGTCAGTCATCCTCTGACTTTAAGATCACGTGCCTTCATTTTCTCAACCAATCTCTTGTGTCAATTTAACCAAATGCCTTCTGAAAATCCAGGTAAACTGCAGCTCCATTCCCTTTATGAATACTGTGACCCTCGAACATTCAGTTTACAGTCCATTTTTACAAATCAATGTGGCCCTTCCCCAGATCCCCTTTTCATTAACAGTTATGTTCAGTTTTGAAGAGTTCCGCTGATCAATGGGGCAAACCCTTCGCATGTAGTTTGCCCATGAGCTGGAGTTGGGCAGTGATGTTGCTATAATTTGTGTTGTGCTGTTTGCTAACTCTCCCTCCTTCTCTCCCCTTTCTCTTCCTGCCTCCTCCATCTCCTTCTTGCCCTCCCCCCACATCTATTTTCATGCTCTGTCCTCTCTAAACCCTCTTGCTCTCTTTTGTCTATTACTCTTTCCCCTCTATCCTCTCTCTATTTCCCCCGTCTTTCTTGATCCTCGCCTTCTCTCTCGATCCTTCCTCCACTCCCTCTCTGTCTCCCTCCCCCCTGCTCCCCCACTTCTCTCCCATCTCCTCTCTCTCTCTTTCCTCTCTCTCTCTCTAGAGCTGGTGATGCTGTTGGAGTTTTGGTCTGGTACTGAGTGCACTCTGTTCAGTGACCAGGCCACGGTGGATAAATTTGGCAAAGAACATGCGATTATCATCCTGAACCACAACTTTGAGCTGGACTTCCTGTGTGGCTGGACCATGTGTGAGCGCTACGGTGTCTTGGGGGTTAGTAATCTTCACCAAAATATTAATAGTAAATGGTAATATTCACTCAAAATATTACTTGGCTGCCACGAGTCCACAGCATTTCAGATATCCTTCCCTGTGGTGTTGGATGCACAGGATGTCTCAGTTACTAGAGCTGCTGGTGTCTTAGTGTTAGTGATTGGGTGTCAGCATCGGGGTGATGGTGTGTCAGTGTGCAGTGCTCTTCAGCCTCGAGTATAAAGTTTGGAGACTATTAAGCATGGCGATGGGTTTCCATGTGCCGGCTGGTGGTCATGTAATCAGAGGAACTTTTGGAAGTTGGATGAGCACAGTCCATATTTACTGGCTTGCATGCCATTTATACAGAGCTCCAAAGTGCTGGCCAAGAAGGAGCTGCTGTACGTGCCACTGATCGGCTGGACCTGGTACTTCCTGGAGATCGTCTTCTGTAAGCGGCGCTGGGAGGAGGACAAAGACACCGTGCTGAGCGGGCTGCGTTCCCTGCAGGATTACCCCGAGTCCATGTGGGTAAGTTTGGATGTTTGAAACTCCCAACTCGCACAGCTCTGGCATGTGTTGGTGATTATTGACAGTTCCTTGTTGCGCTGAGAAGTGGTGGTGACCACGGAGGCCCATTTCCTTCCCTGAAAGACACTGATGAACGAGATGACTTTTCAACAACAATCTTCTTGTCAATTCAAACTCATTAACCTTGGATTGCTGCTGCATCAACATTGCCTGTACACTGTGTACCTGCTCTAGAGGGTGGGTATGATTGGGCCAGATTCAGTTAGGCTGTGGTTGGGTTTGGTGGGATAGGCTTGGGCTGGGCCGGTTTGCTGGGGTTTGGGGTGGGTTGGGCTGGGGCCGTGGTTGGGCCTGTCTGACAGCATCGCTCTCTTTCAGTTCCTGCTGTACTGTGAGGGCACAAGGTTCACTGAGAAGAAACACCGCATCAGTATGGAGGTGGCGGAGTCCAAAGGGCTGCCCAAACTCAAATACCACTTACTCCCCAGGACCAAGGGCTTTACAACCACTGTGCACTGCCTCAGGGGGACAGGTACGTGGGGGCTGGGGACAAAGGGCCGGGGGTGAGGAACTGGGGATGCTGACAGTTAAACATGCCACCAGAGGGGCTGTGGGTTGGGGTGGGGGCTGCAGGGAGGGAGGCATCTGTGGTCAGTGGTCTATCTATCCACCTGCCAGGGCTTTCTTCAGGTGACTGAGGCTGGGTGGGGGAAGCTGTTTGTGTGACTGTTTGTGCTTGATTTGTTGACAGTTGCTGCTGTGTATGATGTGACGTTAAACTTCAGAGACAAGCAGAACCCCACACTTCTGAGTATACTGTATGGCAAGAAGTACTTCGCGGACATGTGTGTGAGGTGAGGAGCATAGCACTGGCCAGGCACTGCACTGCCAAACTACAGCACAAAGCCTTCACTGCCTGTCATGGCCCAGTGATGGCACTGACCGCAAGATTGGGGTAAGGTAGTGAGCGCTGTTTTGAGGGTCAGGGAATGCAAATGAGCACTGAGGGATTGGAGTGTGGTACCGGGGGTTTAAGGGGCAGTGAGTATGTGGAGGGCAGATGCAAGGTAGCTAGGGGATGGTGGGGGCCGGGCTGGGGTGAGTTTGATTCTATTGGAAAGGGGAATATAGCGGAGATTCCCATCCGTTGTTCCCCTTCCTCTTTCACACATGCGTAGGCACACGTTTTAACGTGATGCACTCATATGTACACGTACAAGTATGTGTGACATCCATTACACATCACCCAGTCCTCGCCAGGCTCCAGTCCTCCCTTTCTGCTGGATAGAGCAATTTCAAGATCCTCCCACTCGCAGACAAATCACTTCGCACCTCTCCGACGTGCTTACTCCCCAACCCATCACCTCTCTCCACCCCACCCCCCCAGCTTAGCGGGCTCCAGTCACATCCACTCTGCTCCACCATTGGCGGTCGTGCTTTCAGCCACTACTACACCCCAAAACTCCGCCTCAATCCCTCCGCCCGCCTTCTCCTTGTCTGTCTTCAGATCACACCTGAAGAAGCTCCTCTTTGACTGTGCTTATGGTCACCTCCTTCCCTCCCCCGCGCTCGACATGAAAGTTTACCGCTATTGAGTGCTCTGGAAGCTGCCTGACAAGTTGTTGTTGACATAGTTTTGGGGGTAACTGTGTGTTGTTTGACAGGCGGTTTGCTTTAGACGATATCCCAGAGGATGAGAAGGAATGTGCGGCCTGGCTCCACAAGCTGTACCAGGAAAAGGTAAAGTCCTCCCAACCCAACTACACCGGCAGCAACACTGACTCTTCCGTGTGTGTGTGTGTGTGTGGAGTGAGGGCTCTTTGAGGGCAGCAGCAGTGTGTGTGTGTGTGCGCGCGTGCTGGGCTCTGTGAGGGGTGCGCTCTGTGTGTGTGGGGGGGTGTGGGGGTGCTCTGAGGGTTGTGCTGTGTGTGTGTGTGTGTGTGTACATGGAGCTCTGATGGATGCGCTGTTTGTGTGGTTGTGAGACCCGCTGAGAGACTGGCTCTGGCTCTGTCCGCAGGATGCACTGCAGGAGCAGTATGAGAAAGAAGGAACCTACCCGGGAGAGCAGATCATCCCTCCCCGGCGACCCTGGGGGATCTTGAACTGGCTGTTCTGGGTGATCGTGCTGCTCACTCCCCTCTTCAGCTTTGTGTTTGGGGTCTTTGCCAGTGGCTCGCCATTCCTTATCTGCACCTGCATGGCGTTTGTGGGAATAGGTAAGCAGGAGCTCTGACCCCAGTCTCCATTTCAATATTGTTTCAAGGCTTTTCTACATTACACTGTTTGTTCCCCAGAATTGGGAATTTTGCTTTCTAGATAAAACTGAGCAGAGCTCCTTTTGCAAGGAAACCCAATAGCTCAACTCCCTCCCCACACACAGCCAGCGTACACTCGGCCAGCGTACACACTCCCAATGGCCCAAACCTCTTCCCATTCACTCCTCCTGCCTGTTCAGGTGGATCCCGTTGTCACTGTTCAAAAAGAGAAAGGAGTTTCTCCTCGTGTCCTGGCCAACTATCTCCAGATGGAATTGTTCATTCACTCCATGCCTGTTAGTGGGACATTGCCGTATACATTAAATACTCTGAAAGCTCTTTGAGATTTTTCGATGACGTAAAGCGCGATATCAATCGCAGCTATTATTATAAAATGTAAATGGACAACAAGCTTCCCATTGATACCCATTGTACAGTCCGGAGGGAAGCAAGTGCAAGGAAGTGGCGCCCAGATTGATCAATGTGTTTGAAATGTAGGTTAATCCAACTGTTCAGTCTATTTCACCCACAAGAAACACAGTCACTCCACTTTATAATATATCCTGCGAAGCATTTTGAAATGTCTCCAGGCGCGATATCAAATGCAAGGATTATCATTACGATGGCCGTCGAGCCGAGTGCGGTGCTTTTGCTGGTATTTTTGAGCAGTCACATCTAATAGCTCCACAGTGGCACCAGCAGGCCATTGGTGGCACTGAAGCTAGCGGTGCATGTTAGGCCTGCAGAAAGCAGGAGAAGGAGGCCATTCAGCCACACCGGGCAGAGCAGGGCTTCCCACTGTCTGGGCTCCAGGCCCCCAAGACAACACGCATCCTGACTGAGGACACGCGTACATACACAGACCGGTAGCTGTGTTAAAGTAAGGTTCTCAGTCCATAGAAATCGAGTGCCTCCCTGTCACTGCAAACATCGCTTTAAAAGAATGAAAAAAATAATAATGTAATAATAATAATAAACCTTGCATTTGATACAGCACCTTACCGCGTCTTCGAGGCGTCTCAAAGCGCTTCACAGAATATACTATAAAGTGAATTGACTGTATATTTTTTGGGGGGGCGAAACACGGCAGCCAATTGCCCACGGCAGCGTCCCACAAACAGTCGTGGATTGAGTGACCAAATTATTTTTTAATTTGAAGGGATTATATTATTAAGTAATGCTTACAATGTGAATGTAGATATCACATAAACTGTGGGTTCTGCGTGCCTAATGAGATTGGAATGATGAGAATATACTGTAAAGTCAATTAACTCTTATATTTTGTGGGTGAAAAGTGACAGCCAATCGCACACAGCCAATTGCCATTATACTGAGACAGCCCTCCTCTGCAATCTCTCCTCTCTTCCTCCTTCTCACTGTAATCTCTCCTCTGTAATCTCTCTCCCTTTAATCTAACATTGCGTGGTGTTGATCAGAGTGTTGGGGAGAAGCAGACTTCTATCCACATGCATCCACCAGAGAAAGGAATGGCCCGGTGGGTGGGTGGGTGGGTGGGGAGGGCGGGGGAGAGAGGTAATCTTGACCAGCAGTAAACTCGCCTGGTGGGGTGAATGGGGTGTTAGAGTGCTCGGAATCCTGTTGGGTGAATGGCGTGTTATGGCATGTAGATCCCGTGTTCTGTGTCCCGGCTGTTCATTGTCTCTCGTTTCTTTCAGTCTCGTTTGGCGTGCGGAGGCTCATTGGTGTGACGGAGATCGGGAAAGGCTCGAGTTACGGAAACCAAGAATTTAAGAAGCAGGAATAAAGTGGCCGGGGCCACCTGTCCCAATAACTCCAGTCAGCGTTTAGGAAACAGCTCGCTCTTCACCTGGTGACAACCCACGAGGCGGGACTCAGTAATCCAGCGAGTTCCGGCACTGGCTTTGCCAACTCAAGCCGTTAACAGTCTGCCTTGCACCCGGCACCAGACCCCCTGCCTGTGGAGTCACGCTGGCCCAAGGTTCCGAAGAGCTTCAATTTGTTTTTAATTTACGTTTTGTTTTAATGAACATTCTTAGTTTGAACCCTGTGTGTGCTGAGCTGAGCTGCCTTTTCTTGAGCGCGTCAGCACCTGTAGAACAGCCCTAGCCCAAACAGCTGCACTGAGATTGTGATTTCAAACTGTACCTCCTAACATTTATAATTTATAATATATTCCGAATGTTCCCAACCAGTGAGCGTCTCATTTACACAGCAATAGTGACAGTGACGGGCAGAATTCTAACTGAGAGATCTGCCAGATGAGAGGCAGTGCTGGGGAGGGGGGAGGGGGTGTGCGCACCTGCTCTGTATCGTCGTCATGACACGTTTGGGACTTGTTTCCACTGTGTAAACTTAACAACAGTTTTTTTCTTGAAGTAGCCAGAATACAGCGTATCAATTATCCAGACGCCCAACTGGAAGAGGGCTAATTTCAGGGAGTTGAAAAGGGATCTGGCCCATGTGGATTGTAAACAAAGATTGGTAGGTAAAACAGTAAACGAACAATAATAATCCTTGCATTTGATATAGCAATGGGAGGTCTTCAAGGAGGAGACAGTTAGGGTACACACTAAGCACATTCCCATGAGGGGGAAAGGTAGGACATCCAGAGCTGGTGCTCCCTGGATAACTAATGAAATTGTGATTAAAATGAAACAGAAAAAGGAGGCCTTATGACAAATGCCTGCTTCATAATACAGTAGAGAATCAAGTAGAATACAGAAAATGCAGAGAACTGAAAAAGGAAATGAAATGAGAGCGTATGAGAAAAGGGTAGCGGATAACATAAGAGTGAAAGGGTAGTCAAAGGAAGGCGGGGGGGTGATTAGGGAACAAAATGGAAAGCTTCTTTTGGTGGCAGTGGGCATGGCTGAGGTACTGAATGAGCACTTTGGAGTCCTGTAGCGCAGTGGTTAGTGCACTCGCCTCACAAGCAAGAGGACTTGGTGGGACACAACTTTAGGCAAGTTTCCTTACTCCAAATGCCTCTGTTTACCTAGAAATAAGCAGGAACACGGTTGTTGGTCGATTGGTGGATTGCTTTCCGAAGGTAATCCTTCAAAACAAATTAGTCACTCAATCCACGACTGCTTGTGGAACACTGCGCAATTGACTGCTGTGTTTCAGCCACAAAATACAGTATATTCTGTGAAGCACTTTGAGACGTCTCAACAATGTAATAAGGCGCTATGTCAAATGTAAGTATTATTATTACTTTGCATCTCTTCACAAAAGCGATGCAACCCCCTCATCCCAAAAGGTTCCTGGGATGAGGGGGTTGACTTATGAGGATAGGTTGAGTAAACTAGGCCTATAATCTCTAGAATATAGAAGAATTAGAGGTGATCTTATAAAAACCTATAAGATTCTTAAGGGTCTTGACAGGGTAGATACCGTGAGACTGTTTCCCCTGGTTGGAGAATCTAAAACGAGGGGTCACAGTCTTAAGATTAAGGATCAGCCTTTTCGAACTGAGTTGAGGGAACATTTCTTCTTTCAAAGGGTAGTGAATTTGTGGAATTCTCTACCCCAGAAGGCTGTGGATGCTCAGTCCTTGAACATATTCAAGACTGAGGTTGATAGATTTCTAAAGGATATAAGGATTAAAGGATAAGGGAATAGGGCGGGTAAACGGAATTAGGTTAGAAGATCAGCCATGATCTTATTAAATGGCGGGGCAGGCTCGAGGGGCCAAATGGCCTACGCCTGCTCCTATGTCTTATGGTTTTATAGTCTTCTGGAAGAGGATGCTGCTGCAATTCACATTAAAGGAGGAGGGAGTAGAGAAATTGGTAAGATAAAAATAGAGGAGGTGCTTAAAAGATTGGCACTGCTCAAAGTAGAAAAGTCACCTGGTTTGGATGGGATGCATCTAGATTGCTATCCTCGGATATGGGAGTGATGCCAGAGGACTGGAGGGTTGCAAATGTTACAACCCTGGTAATTACAGGTCAGTCAGCCTAACACCAGTGATAGGGAAACTTCTAGAGATCATTATCCAGGACAAAATTAATTATCACTTGCAAAAACATGGGTTAATAAAAGACAGCCAACACGGATTTGTTAAAGGCCGTGTCACGTTAGTGTCTAACTAATTTGTCTGAGTTCCTTGATGAAGTAATGGAGAGGGTTGATGAAGGTAGTGCAATTGATGTTGTGTATATGGACTTTCAAAGGGCGTTTGATAAAGTGCCACGTAATAGATTTGTTAGCAAAATAGAAGCCCATGGGATTAAGGGAACAGTAACAGCAAGGATCCAAAATTGGCTGGGAGACAGAAAGCAGAGGGTAGTGGTTAACGGTTGTTTTTCAGACTGAGGGGAGGTATGCAATGCTGTCCCCAAGAGTCGGTATTAGAAACACTGCTCTTTTCAATAGATGTTAATGACCTGGACTTGGGTATAAGCAACACTTTAAAATTTGCAGGAGGCACAATACTGGGAAATGTAGTAAACTGTGAGGAGGATAGAAGCAGACTGCAGGAGGACATAGACAGGCTGGTGAAATGGGCAGACGCATGGCAGATGTAATTTAATGCAGAGAAGTGTGAAATGAGGAATTTTGGGAGGACCAATGAAGAGATAAATGGTACATATCTCATATATGAGATAAATGGTACAATTTTAAGGGAGGTGCAGGAACAGCGAGATCTGGGGATTCACATACACCCTCAGACCTCAAAGGATAGAGTTTAAAATCCTCATCCTCACTTTCAAAGCCCGCCACGGCCTTGCCCATTCCTACCTCTTGTGATCTGCTAACCCCATATCAACCTGTCCGCTCCCTCAGGTACAAATCCCCGACTGTCCAGCATCTTGGAACATGCTCCTTACGTGAAAGGCGCTATACAAATGTCATTTTGTATTGTATTGTATAAAAATCTTTGAAGGTGGCCAGACAAGTTGACAAAGTTGTTAAAAACGCATATGGGATCCTTGGCTTTATATATAGAGGCATAAGAATATAAAAGCAAGGGACTTATGTTGTACCTCTATAAAATGTAATTTTGTTGTTGTTACAAATCGCTGGTTAGGGCTCAGCTGGAATATTGTGTCCAATTCTAGGAACCACACATTAGAAAGGATGTCAGGGCCTTGGAGGGAGTGCAGAGAAGATTTACAAGACTAATACCAGGGATGAGGGACTTCAATTGTGTGGAGAGACCAGAAAGGCTGGGAATATTCTCCTTAGAGATGTCCCGGACGAGGGACAACTTTCTCCAACTCATCGTCAGCAAGACCGAGGCCCTTCTGATTGGCTCGCGCGCAGCGCCTCCGCACCTCGGGTGCTGGCAGCATCAGCATGCACGGCTGCACACTCGACCTCACTAAACCAGTCAGGAACCTGGGTGTCTCGGTTGTCCCTGAACTGTCCTTCCTCCCCCACATCCCCACCATGACCGGCACTGCCTACCACCACCTCCACAACATTGCTAGACTCCGCCACTGCCCTTCAGGCGGCCGAAACTCACCTCGATTACGGAAACTCCTTCTTCATCTTCCTTCCCAACTCTTCCCTTCACAAGCTGCAGATCATCCAAAACTCCGCAGCTCGTGTACTCTCATGCACCAGGCTCCGTGACCCCCACCCTCGCCCGACTCTACTGGCTCCCCATCCCTCAGAGGATCGAATTCAAGATCCTCGTCCTCACTTTCAAGTCCATCCATGGCCTTACCCCCTCCTACCTCTCTGACCTGCTGACTCCCTAAAGGTGCTCTATACATGTAATTTTGTTGTTGTTGTTGTAGAGCAGAGAAGGTTCAGGAGAGATTTAATAGAAACATAGAAACAGGAGTAGGCCATTCAGCCCCTCGAGCTTATTCTGCCATTCTATAAGATCATGGCTGGTCTGTACCTCAGCTCCAATTACCCGCCATTGTCCCATATCCCTTGATACACTAACCTAACAATATCTATTCACCTCAGAATTGAAAATGTGAATTGATCTCGCATCCACAGCCTTTTTAGGGACAGCTCTGGATTTCCACTACCCTTTGGGAGAAAACCTGCCTCCTGATTTCACTCCTAAATGGCCCGGCTCTAATTTTAAGGTTATGCCCCCTTGTTCTGGATTCCCCCACCAGAGGAAATAGTTTCTCGGTATCTACCCGTTAGCTTGTTTCTAGTGATTTGTGTATGGACACCCAAATTCCCTTTGCTTCTCCATAGTTTTTGAGTTTCTCACTATTTGGAAAATATTCTGTTTTGCTATTTGGGAGGAGGAATGGGGAGAGATAATATAAGATAAATGGTACAGTAGAAGTGCTCCAAATTATGAGGGGTGTTGATGGAGTAGATAGGGAGAAACTGATTCCTCTGGCGGGTGGATCGGTAACCAGAGGGCACAGATTTAAGATAATTGGCAAAAGAACTAGAGAGGAGACGAGAATTTTTTTTTACTCCAGAGAGTTGTTACAATCTGGAACGTACTGCCTGAAAGGGTGGCGGAAGCAGATTCGATAACAGTGTTCAAAAGGGAATCGGATAGGCACTTGAAAAGGAAAAAAAAAATTGCAGCCACAAGAGCGGGGCAGTGGGAGACTAGTTGGTAGCTCTTTCAGAGCTGGCACACGCACGATGGGCCGAATGGCCTCCTTCTGTGCTGCAGGATTCTATGATTCTATAATTATACAGGAACCGTACGGTCACAGCATGACCGCCCCTCTCTCTGCCACCCACACGAGCTGTGTGTGCGGGTGTGTTTGGCCTCTCTCTGCCTCACCAAATGGGTTGTGTGTGTGTGCTTGGCTTCTCTCTGCCGCCCACATGGGCTGTGTGGCCTCCCATGGGTTGCTCTCCACATCGGGGTGGAGGTATTTAATAAACACTAACGCAGTGTTGCTCTCACCTCGCACATTTACAGGAATATTAAACAATGTGGATTTTTTTTAAATAGCGGTGAAACTGAGCTCCAGCTAATTAATGATTGCTACGTGTTAATTTAGTGAGAAAGTGTTTTAGCCTCACTTATACACACTGTGTAACACAGACTGTAGGGGATATATACACACCGTGTAACACAGACCATGGGGGGTATAAGCACACTGTGTAACACAGACTGGGGGGGATATAACACACTGTAACACAGATAGTGGGGGGTGGGGTATATATTGTGTAATACAGACCGTTGGGGATATACACACTGTAACCCAGATTGAGGAGGGTGGGATATTTACATGGTGTAACACAGCCCGTGGGGTATACACACACTAACACAGACTGTGTTGGGGTATATATATATATGCACTAACACACTCTGACGGGATATATGCACACTAACACAGACTGTGATGGGGTATATACACACTAACACACTGATGGGGTATAAACATACTAGCACACAGCATGGGTATAACAAAGATACAGACACACACTTACACAGTAACACACACACATACACAGGCTGATATATACACAATTACATAGAAACACAGATAAACAACAGCGAGCACACTGACATACACACACACAGCACTAACTGAGGCCTGTACCTGTCCTGACTCCAGGCAGACTGATCGCAACGCCCTCCTCATCATCAGCACCATCGTCGATCAGGGCTGTGCTGCCGAAGTCCGTCATCTTTCTACGGTCCAGCCACTCCTGCCACAGAGAGCCCCCCCGTCACACACAGCTTCCCCCATCACGTCGGCTCACACAGCTTCCCCCGTCACGCTATACACAGCAGCCCCCCCCACCCCGTCACAACACACAGGCCCCCGTCTCACCACACACAACCCCCCATCACACTGGCTCACACAGCCCCCCATCACACATCGCCTCCCCCACCCCACACTACATACATCCCCCGCCCATGACACACAGACCCCATCACACTGGCTCACACTACACAAACTACCCCGCCCCTCCACCCCCCATGGGTTTGGGGGGCTGAGGGTCTCTCACCTCCATGGCGTCCAGCGATAGGTTGCAGGAAATCTCAAATTTTTTCATGAGGATCTGCTCGCGGACGTTGTAAACACAGACAAAGCGAGAGTGACCGCCCGCGAGCACGCTGCTGCCGTCCGCAGAGTAACACAGCGTAGACACGGCCCTGCAACACACCCAGCGGTCAGAGGAGGGGGCGGCCGTGAGGGGAAGGGGTGGCGGCAGCTGCACAAGGTGGGGGGAGGGGTGTGAAGGCTGCAGCAGAAAGCGCACCGGGAGTGGGGGGGGGGGAGGGGTTGCACAGTGTGGACATTGAGAGAGAGATGTCTGGAACAGTGGGCACCCCGGTTTAACACTGAACCCCAATAGCAAACCTTACGCAGTGGGGGGAGGCCATGGGTTGGAGGGGGGTGCTGGCATGGGGTTTGGGGGCTAGGGGTTGGGGGCTGGGGTCACTCACTTGCCCTTAGCCGCCTGTTTTGCCGTGATCTTGTCCAGTTGCCGCCGCCCCACCTTCAGGTCATGCCGGGTTTCGATGGAGCCGGTCTGCACCGCATTGCGCGGCTCCCAGAAGGTGATCTGTCCGTCCAGCGTGGCCACCGCCAGCTCCCGCCCGTCAGGCCGAAACGTCACCGTCAGAGCTGCCAAAGAGAGAGAGAGAGAACATCCCCTCAGACAGCCATCACCACAGCCGGCCCTAACCGTATACCTCCCCCCCCCCACCCCCCACACACACACACACACCACAGCTACTCACTCAGCCGCTCAAATACACAACCCAACACATACAAGCCCCCACACATACACACGTGTACCCTCCCCACACCCGCTCACCCACTCCCCTTGCCGCCCCCACCCATACCCTCTGCGTTTAGGTTGAGGGTCTCCTGGGATTTCCAGCTGTCAAACATCTCCCAGAGCCGCACGGTGTGGTCCCAGGAGGCGCTGGCCAGCAGGCCCTGCTGGGGGCTGAACGCCAGCCCACTGACCGGGGCCTCGTGGCCAGACATTACCTACAAGAACAAAGGCATCACGTTCGTTCAGCGTATATCATACAGGCAATACAGCAGGGAGTTGGGTTAAGAGTAGAAAGCTCCAGTGGGGGAGCGAGCACCAGCAGAGGCACGATGGGGAGAGAGAGCAGGGAATGGGATTAGAGTAGAGAGCTCCAGTGGGGGTGACTGTTCTACACGTACATCAAGAAGGCGGCCGGTCTGCATCGACCACACAAAGATCTGGAAGGAGTCCTGTGAGCCGGCACACACCAGCTCCCCACTGGAGTCCACAGCCAGGCAGCAGAACTGGGTGGGCTGCGGCGACGTGAAGGTTCGGAAGTTGCGATACCTGCAGAGCAGAAACAAGAGGCTCGTTAACTCTCCCCGTACAGGTACAGGCAACAGCCCTGGCAACCACTCCCACCACCCCCCGCATCAAACCCCACCTCACACAGCCAACCCCCACCCCATTCCCACCCCCCCCACTCACCGGTGCAGGTCAAAGGCTCGGACGGTCCCGTCCAGGGAGGCGCTAACCAACACGTAGCCGGTGTGGTTGAAGGTGACAGCCGTCACACTGCTCGAGTGTTCAGTGAACGTCACAAAACAGAAACCACTACTGGTGCTCCATACCTTCACCTGAATGAGAGCAAGAGAGAGAGTGGATGAGTGAGAGAGAGACAGAGTGAGAGTGTGAGAGAAAGCGTGATATAGAGGGTGTGCATGTGTGTGACAGAGAGAGAGAGTGCGGACTCAGTGTGTGTCAGACCGGGCGGGCTCAGTGTGTGTGTGTGAGACAGGCTGGGCTCAGAGTGTGTGCGTGTGTACTTGTGACAGGCTGGGCTGTGTGTGTGTGAGTGTGACAGGTGGGCTCAGTGTGTGTGTGAGTGTGACAGGTGGGCTCGGTGTGTGTGTGTGTGTGTATGTGACAGTGTGCGTTACCTTGCCATCCTCTCCACCGGTGGCTATGTGCTGGGCATCGGGTGAGTAGGACAGACACGTCAGGTTGTTGAAGTGACCTTGCTGTTTGAGCACATAGGACTCGCTCTGCCACTCCCACACTAACAGCTGGCCGAGGCCTGTAACAACAAGAGCTCAGTCACCCACCCCAACCTGGGCTCCGTACTGGCACAGCCCCGGGCGCAGATCCAACCCCCCCCCCACTCCCCGACCGGCACAGCCCACCATCAGTCACATACCTGCACAGCCGAATGCGATCCAGTCTCCTGAGGTGTTGATGGAGATGGAGGCGATTCTCTGGTCTGAAATACTGAACGTAGCATCCCATCCCGTCAAAAACAACAACAAAAAAAACTTGCATTTATACAGCGCCCCTCATGTAGGGCAACGTCCCAGAGCGCTTGATAGTGGTGGAGCACGATGTCGAGCCGGGGGGAGGGGGAGGTAGTCCTAGGCAGTCAACAAACAAGGTTTTCAGACACGGCCTGAAGATGGGGAAGGAGGGGGGGCAAGGCGGAGGGATAGAGAACGAGTGCACCAGTTTCGGGGCACAGTGGCTGAAAGCCCGGACGCCAACGGTGGAGTGGAGGGCACCAGGGACAAGCAGGAGGCCGGAGCCAGTCGAGTGGAGACAGCGGGCTGTGGGTCGGGGAGTGAGCAAGTCGGGGAGCTCAGGAAGTGCCGGGGCACGAGGGGATTTGAAAACAAGTGTGAGGATCTTGTAATCAATCCATCTGGTGATGGGGAGCCAGTGGAGCCTGGCAAGAACTACCTCCCCTCCCCTCAGCACCGCATGGAGGGGAGGGGAAAGGGGCGGTGGGGCAATGCTGAGGCTGGCCGTTACCAGAGGGAGTGGACGAGGTTGAAATCTGGAAGCTCGTGCAGATGGAATATCCCGGAAGCAAAGCCGGTGACCAGCAGGTGGGAGGTTTTGTGGTAAGCGGCAGCCGTCAGCTCGTTGAAGTCCTTCTCCTTGTTGAAGAAATGTCTGTAGGAAGTCGGACATGGGAAGGGGGGGGTCAGTGTGGAGAATGCACAGCCTCGGAACATTCCAGAAAAGTCTGATCAACCCTCGGACCGGGCTCTTACTTTGCCGTTCGTCTGTATTGGACCTTGCCGACTCGTTCCCGCTCCGTCTCCACCCGGCCACGGACCTGCTCCCCCACCGACTCCTCCACTCCATCACCCCCTCCCTCCCGCAGGGCCGGAGGTATGAGTCCAGACAACTGTGTGTCGCACACCCACACACACAGCACTGCATCCCGGCTCAGTGTGTACAACTACACCAGAGAGAGAGAGAGAGAGTGAGACACACACACACACACAGCACTGCATCCCGGCTCAGTGTGTATAACTACACCAGAGAGAGAGTGAGACACACACACGTACACACACAGCACTGCATCCCGACTCAGTGTGTACAACTACACCAGAGAGAGAGTGAGACACACACACATACACACACACAGCACTGCATCCCGGCTCAGTGTGTATAACTACACCAGAGAGAGAGTGAGACACACACACATACACACACACAGCACTGCATCCCGACTCAGTGTGTACAACTACACCAGAGAGAGTGCGAGAGAGAGTGAAACAGTGAGACTCTCCCCTACACAAACAGCACTCCATTCCTGCTCAGTGTGTACGCCTACACCACAGAGAGAGAGTGAGAGATTCCCTCACAAACCCTGATCAGTGAGTACAACTACACAAAGAGAGAGAGAGAGCGATATAGAGAGAGTGACAGAGAAAGAGACACAGATGGGAGAGAAAACAAGCAGAGAATGTAAATCAATGACCCAATCTGACAAAGCTGGAGTTGTGGTGGAGTGGGAATGGGGTTTGTTTGTGTACGAGGCGGGGTGAGGCGAGGCTACTCACGTCTAGGCTGTTGTGCTCGAAGAAGCAGGCGGTGATGGAATCCTTGTGACCTTCCACAGCGTAGTACACGAGGTTCAGCCAGCGCTCAGCCCCAAACACCCAGCTACTAGCATCCTGGCTCCCCACCACAAAACATCTGTAACGGAGGGGTGGGGTGGGGGGGCGGAATCGGGGGCGTCAGGCTCAGTGGGTTATACAGACACACACTTTCTCACAGGACACACACACACTCTCTCAGAGCCCAAACACACTCTCGGAGTACACACACACACATACACGCTCTCAGAGCACACAAACACTCCCTTGAGTACACGCACTCTCTCAAGCACACACATACACACTCTCTCGGGGCACACACACACTCTGGGAACACACACACGCACTCTTTTGGAGCACACACTCTCTCAGAGCACATACACACTCTCTGGGAGAACACACACACACACTCTCGGAGAATACACACGCACTTTTTCGGAGCACATACACACACTCTCTCTCGGAGGGCACACACACACTCTCTCGGAGCACATACACACACACACACTTACTTTGAGTCGTCAGTCCAGTCGATGCAGGTGGTCTCATCATAGGGGCCGAAGTAGGTCTTGTCCAGGACGAAGGGGTTGAATTCCCGGGTCTTGCCCGGCGCGTGGTACATCAGGGCCACATTGTCCTTGGTTACCACAAACCTCCTGGGGAACACACACACACACACACACACACAGCCGGTCAGCTTTTACACATTCACACTCAGCCGTCAGCCTGTACCCCCCACCACAGCCCTCAGCCTGTACACATACGCACAACTGTCAGCCTGTACACAGACACAGCCGTCAGCGTGTAAACACACAGCCGTAAACACACACTCATACACCACCGGCAGCCTGTACACACACACAGCCATCAGTGTATACACACACCCCCCGGCTGTTCAAAGTGTTCACAAACACACACACATATAGCCGTCAGCGTGCATACACACACAGCTGTCAGCCTGCCCACTGTGTGTGTATACTGTGTCAACTCAAGCGGCAATGTGTGCATGCTGCATATGAGTG